ATGTGTTCTCATTGAATCGGAAACAGCAAATGAACAATTGAACCAACTGTGCAATTTTGATTAGACACCAAGAAGATAGTGATAGAAAAGATTGAGGGACTGTTAAAATAGAGTGTCCAGCAATGGTTTGTTAAAACTAAAAAACGTATGAAGGGGGATTAAGAACAGGTTACTTTATCATGTCCTTAAAAAATACATGCCTCATAAAGTTTGGTTTGGGTTCATAAAATACCAGATCATTCCAAAGTCATTAAACACATTTAATACACTAAAAGTGCCTACCTTTATTTAAAGGGAAAGAAAAAATCTATAAACAATGCCTAGCTGAAGGAAGGACCCATACTCTCCAGGTTCTGCAATATTCCTGCCTAGTTACTTACCATTTTGTCACAGATTGTGACAGTAGGACATGTTAAATTTACTAATGGTCTTCAAAGTAAGAAAATAATAGCTCTAAGTTAGGAATAAGCTAGCCAATAACCCAGGTTATTAAATCTCATTGCCATAAAATATGTGTTAATATACAAATATGCTTATGAATAAATAGAATATTACAAAGGGACACATAAGTACATGGTACTAGTGAATGGTTGCTTCCATAAAGGGGGACTGGAGAGAAGGAATGAGAGGGAGACTTACTTTTAATTGTATATGTTTTTTGAATTTTATGTTTTTAGTTTTTTGAATCCTATATCAAGGCTATGCATTTTCTGTTAAAAAGAATTTATTTTAAAAAGTTCCAAGCAAATGAGTATATTTTCCTCATTAAAAGAAAAATCAAGCCAAAGAAAGTCAAATTTTTCTCAAATATTTGACTCTAGTATTTGAAATTGGAAGATAATATGATGTAAAAGCACTTTATTTCCATGTATAACTATGGAAACATTCAATTCAAGAATAAGAATCCAATATTATTTAAATGCATTCCAGTACTAAATTCTTTATCAAAAATGAATAATACTACCAAAGACAGTTATTGATATTTTACAGACAAGAAAATTAAGGCTAAGCACACCAAGTAATTTGCCCAAGATCACAGAACTATTAGCTACACATGAAAAATTACAGTAACATTTCTGCTCTGTAGTAATTCAAAGTGACGAATAGCTTCAATACGTTCTAGAACCTATAGTTGCAAAGATTTACACATCAGGTACAGAAATATACCACCTAAGCACAAACATCTTTTACGGAAGAGATTTTGACATACTCACAAGGCTGTTCGTACAGTCACAGGTATGTTTTAAACAGTTTATAATTTTTAATAAACTTTTATGTCCTCAAATATCCATTTGAAATGCATTAAAGAAGTTTCAATGAAAACGATTCTTGGAAAGTTAGGCCTCTGAGAATGGTAAAACTATTCTGGAAGTTTTAATGGACTTCTTTTTGAATGGTAGTTGAGTATTTTATTCGTTTTTTATCTCACTGTCTAACAAATAACCACAAACTTCAGAGATTTAAATCTACACCCACTGAGTGTTGTCTCATAGTTCCAGAAGTGAGATGTATAGTCACAGTGTGGTTGGCTCTTTGCTCAAGACCTCACAGGGAAGAAATTGAGGTGTCAGCTGTGTGGCATTCATATCCCCAGCTTAAAGTCCTCTTCGCAGCTTAAATGTTTAGAATTCAGTTCYTTGTGGTTATAGATGGAGGTCCTCATTTCCTTGCTGGTTATCACTCTAAGTCTCTGGAGTCCACCTTGCTATGTGGCCTGCTTTGTTCTCAAAGTTAGCAACACTGACTCTCTGTGGAGTCACATCCCAGTCACACTGAAATCCCTGTCTCATGAAGACCCTAATTCCTCTGAAGGGATCATCATCAAGGGCCCTCCCTGATAATGTCTTAAAGTCAGATGATTTGGGACATGAATTATATCTGCAAAATCCACTCACATCCAGGACCCTGGTTAGTGTTCAATTGAAAAACTGGGAGAACTTACACATATAACAGGAGCATGGAAGTCSTCGGGGCACGAATGCAGCATCAATATTCCCATTACAAACGTTGTCCATCACTAACTTTGTCCCCATCCCACCCTCTCTGAGCTGAGCCATCCTCTCATAATTCAAAACAGAAAATGAATTATCATATTTATATGAATACATTTTAAAAAATAACATTTTGCTTGCATCTTTGAGGACTTGGGTGCAGAATTTAGTGTCTATTTCTCCATATTTGTGATATTGAAATTATTAGTCCCAAGTCACTTGTCATCTCTGTTTCCATATTCAGAATTTGAGGTCTGCAGTATATTAAGTATTGCCATTTCTAAGTTTAGTTTTATTTTCAGAATTTCTAGAAAGTCAATTTTTTCCCAAACCTAAAGAAAGATAAGATAAAAAATTGTAAAAGGCACTGGAATCCCTGTTGCATGCAGCTTGAGAAAGAATTCTTTTTATGTTAGTAGGATCACTTTGTGAGAGCATTTATGTACATTTTTCTGTAGGGACTTTTTTGTGATTGTTTACATAAATTCAATAAATGAAATACAACTGGTTTTGTAGTTTGCTTAATTAATGGTGATAATTCATTTACAATTTTAATGTTTTATGTGTTGCTTCATGAAGATAATGGTTGTGTTCTGGACTTAATAAGCTTTAATCTTGCCTGAGGTGTGACCACACCTTATGATCACCAGAACATGGCTGGTTCAAGTGAAAAATGTTGAAGCCACATCTAGTATAATATAGAATTGACTAAAAATATCCCAAGCTTTTGTTAATAAAAAAACTGTTTCAATCTTTTAGGACCAATCAGACTCCATCTTAATTCACTCTTCTCTCAAAGTTTTAAACTCAGCTTAAGTTATTGGATGGATGTTGTCTGAAAGACCAGGCTGATGATTTCAGAGGTGTCACAGGGGAAATGGAATTTTATAGACTGGTTAAAGGTAGAAAGGGGAAATGGGGCCTAGGTAACCCCTAGGAAGTTTTGAGGAAACTGAATCCCAGAGAAGTTAAGGGGCTTGCTTAAGAGCATACAGCTAGAGAAGTAACAGAAGAGAGATATAAATATGGATCTTTTTATTCCAAATCTAGTATTCTTTTTAGTTCATCAATTTTGTTCCTTGATAGAAATGTGTTGCAAGCAGTATTTCAAAGTACTGTCATTTTTTGCAACCAAGAGAAGTGTTTGGATACAGAGATACTGGAAATAAAGAGATGGTTGGAATTTTGTTGTGCTCCTACCCATTCCAAAAGGTGGGGCCCCTATCTCTGTTTTCATTTTATCATACCTCTTCTGGACTCTTCTACTGCCATTCATGTGGACCTCACATGATCATCTTCTTTGGTCTGTATCCTTACAATATCCACCAAAGACAATGTTTTTCCAAGGGGTGGGGCAATGGGAGGGTYTACCTGGTCAATAGTGTATGCAGGAAAATTCATTTGTTTGAACTTAGACACAGAGAATTTATTTATTTWTTTTTTGGTGGGTGGATATATTATCACTGACTTTTTCCATATCTCCTAGAAAAATATAGATAGTAAAATCAGACTGCCTTTGGTGAGGTTTTTTTGTTTTGTTTTGTTTTTTTAGTTTTTAAATAGACATTGTCCTCTTGTTGTTCCCTGACACTGACCTAGATTGAGAGACAGGAATCCCCAAAAAACTACTGCCATCAAAAGACTTCAGGCTTTGTAGAAAGTGTTCATTAGAACAGATAAAAAGGGACAAAGCACAAACATAAGATTTGAAAGTGCAGATCATTTTATATAAAAACATTTGAAATTATATATGAAATGTATACTACATTCCAAAGTAGCACGAGTGAAACAACTTTGGTAAACTAAGATAACTTCCCAAGCTAGAATCTTAGGAATTTATCTGGGTTTATATGGGATTTTTAATTTAGAATGTCTCCATGAACTAAAGCATTATAGTTTTGATATTCACTGGACTCAGAGAAATGTACATTTTAAAACATTTCAGGTAGAAGCAGGGCTGCCCAAGGATTAAGAAAGTCTGGACCAAATCTGGACAGTGTGACCATGGCAGATTACTCATCTGGATGAGCACCCATTCATCCACCTATAAAATACAACCAAGTAATAGTACTTACCTTACAGAGTCATGGTGGGGATTAAAATCAGTCACATACAGGATTTAGCTCTGTGCTTAGCACCATTGTTGTCTGGTGGCTATAAAATATCAAGCTTTAAAAAATGCTTCGTCAGACATAACATTCTTCATAATTTATTTACTTCTCTCAAAAATGAAACATGAAAACTCTGCTACAGGTATTTAAGGACATAACCTGAACTTCATTGTGATTATGATTTCTATTTAGCAAATATCTCTGAGGGCACTAGATGGCGACCTTCTCCTTTAAGAAAAACAAAAACAAAAACAAAACCTAAGGTTTCATTAATATTTCTCYTCTGACAGTATCACTGCTGCAGCAGATTTAGAAGTAAGCAACAAGGCACCTTCACATCTTTGAATGGTAGATCATCAGAATCCTTAAATTTCTAGGTTTTCAGGTTGTAAGCTAGAAGCAGAATAGTAGGAAAGCAGTAGCATCGTGCTGGGAGTCCTGGATTCAAACTTCTGTCCTTGTGTGATTTTGGACTTCACCTCCAAGATCTCATCTTATAATATGAGGTTGGGTTGAATCATCTTCAAAGCTTATTTGGCCTCTATTGGTATTTTGGTTTTTAATAATTCAATGATTAAAAAAAATCTGCCAGTGTTATTTCTCAAGTTTTCYTTGCATTCAATATTTAAAAAATTTAAGCCAGTGGACAAATTTTAATGTCACTATGATTGACATTATTTAAGTTAAAACTGACTCATTCAAAAACACATTTTGGAAGTTAGGGATGAATTTAGTTTTGGGGTGTGTGTGTAGTTTTGGCTTAAATATTCCTTTCTTTGTAATAAGCAGGAGAAACAATAATATGTTTAGAAGGAATAAAGTGTTCATTTAAGATAGTATAAGAGTTGAGAAAAGTCTTTAAAGAGTCATTTTAAAACTATTTTTATTTGTTCCAAAAATAAAGTTGAAGCTATGCCCTAAATTTTTAAATGTGATCAAAGATTTTTTTCAATGTATTATTTTAAAATTCAATTATYTTGAGTGTTTCTAAAAGAATTGTAGCAGATTAAGTTGTTCATAGACAGCAGTAACAGAAGAATAACTATCAACAACAGAGAACCCTTTTCCAAAATGAGTAGATGCAGCCATACTTTAGCATCTGGTACCATCAAGAAATTCAGATGTGGTCTGTAATAATTTTAGTTTAAAATAATCAGACGATTAGAACTAAAAGTAAGTAATAAAGAGTTTATTTTAAAATAGGTATATGCCTGTTTTTCCTTTACTTGTTTCAGACCAGGTAGAACACTTTTTGTTTTTAAATAGTTATTACATATTGATTTTTCTTTTTAAGAAAAGTTACTATTTCAGAAAGAATCATTTGKTGTCTTAGTTGCACCTATTTAAAAAAAATTTACTAATTTATCTATCATTACTTGAAAAAAATGTCCATCATGTAGATAAATAAACTTGCATGTTGTGAAATAAATTCTTTGTGATACATACTGTACATATTTTAAAACCGTAGGTATTAGAAAATACTCGGACTCTAGCTTAGGGTAGGTAATGGATGCACAAGTAAGAGAGAAACAGATGATTACAGATGCAGTTTCTACCCCAAACTGGAATTGTAGAGTGACCCAGCAGGTTAGTACTGGCTAGCTGTAGCGGCTTCAGAACCATGAAAGGCGATGTTGTGATGTAATTTGGATGCTCACTATACAAAATTTAACTGTCGCAGATGAAATAAAATCCGGACTTGAAAATGTTTACAGTCAATGCAAGGGATGGCCTCTTTTCCGTAAACACTAGTGGGCTCATTACTATACATTCGTCCAACAGTTTTGGTTCACAATTTCCAGTAATGCTTTATGCTGAAAAAATTTGGAACTGCTATTGCTCTATCATTCTTATTACTTAGGGTCCCAACATCAGCACCTCACAGCAAGAAACACACACACACWCACACACACACACACACACGAACACACACCTACCTTGCCTTCTAAATCCACCCAGAGCAGAAAGAAAATCAAAGGTGAAAACAAAGGTGAATTTGTGCAGGTTATTGTCTAATGGCAGTTTAATATTTATGAAATGTCACACACAAACACACGCGCACACACACTCTTTAGGATCTAGTTACAAGCACTGCGTCATCCACCAGATCACATGGTAATTGTTGCTATTTCAAGGATCAAGTGGCATAAAGCTCCCCCCGACACACACCCATCCCACTCCCTTCTTTTGGTACCACAAAGCGTGGAAGAGTGATTTTTGATTTTTTGTGTGATGGAGTGAGACCAGGCTCTCTGATTCAACGCTCAGCTAGAAACTAGGCTCTTGGTGGGGTGGTGCGCGCGCGTTTCTCACGGAGTGATTGGGAAAGGGGGACGGGGGAGGGGGTCTCAGGGGAGGAAGGGCAGCTCTAATTGGTTTCTCAATGAAAGATAATCACCTACTCCCCGGAGAGGCTAGGGATTAGCACTCTGCCTCTCTTCTCCATCGCTTTTAGAATTCTCATCCTCCCCTCGGTGCTTTTAGTCCATTCAGCAGAAGTGGATCGAAGCTAGCGGCTCCTCGCGCCGCATTAAGGGGCAGCCCTCCGCTGCGCTCCAGTACTTTGCGCCCCATTCACTCTTCCGCGCTCGCCTCTCCTCGTCCCAGCCGCCGCCGCCGCCGCCGCCGCCGCCGCCGCCGCCGGAGAAAAGTTTCGCGGAGGGGCTCAGAGAAAAAATGAGCGAGCTGGAGGAAGACTTTGCCAAGATTCTCATGCTCAAGGAGGAGAGGATCAAAGAGCTGGAGAAGCGGCTGTCAGAGAAGGAGGAGGAAATCCAGGAGCTGAAGAGAAAGCTTCACAAATGCCAGTCGGTGCTGCCTGTGCCCTCGACCCACATCGGCCCCCGGACCACCMGGGCACAGGGCATCTCCGCGGAGCCGCAGACGTACAGGTCCTTCCACGACCTCCGACAGGCATTCCGGAAGTTCACCAAATCTGAAAGGTAGGCGCCGGGGCTTGGCGCCGCTGCAAAGAGCTAAGGCCACTGCTCTTGGCGGAGGGCCGGGCGCCGGTGGGGACTTCATGATCCTGGGCTGGGGTCTCGGGTCTGCGGCGGAGGGGGCTAGTGAGCTCACGGCTCCCCCTGCTAGCTGCGGCGCACGGAGTGGGGGTGGCCCTGCGGCCGGGAATGGGAAGTGTTTATTTTTATTTCTGCCCATCACGTGCTGCGCTGGTCTCTGCCGGGCTGGGAAAGGCGAGCTCCWCGGGGAGTCGCGCCCCTGTGGCGTGGGGGTGGGGAGAAGGACCGGGGAAAGTTTTCTCGAGTCTGCTAACTTGGCCACTCAGCACTCGGCTGCTGTCGYGCCGGCTTTCTTTGTGCGCTTCGGTGGGGTCGCCCACGCTGGGACACTACCCGGCCCATCTTGGACCCTGGAGAGGTTCCCAGAGGAGACCCRGGCCACGGGGCATGCTCACAAGGGCCGTCCGAATCTCCCGGGGAGTGGCTATAGGAGGCAGGGCAGGGTTGAGTTCAATTTAGGGACTGAACTTAGCCGAGCTCRAGCTGTGTTAGGAGGGCACCGGGTGGGGTGGGACAGGTTGTCTCCGCTGCAGGGGTCCAGACTCCAGCTTCGGGGTGGGAAGGGGAGATTTTACTCACGGGGTCTCTTTCAATGCAACAGTGATGTCAGCAAGAAATGGCAAAGAAACCCCACCTTCTGAATGTTCTTTTGCTCTGCTGCGATCCTTCCAGAAGGAAAATTCTTTCCTTTGCCCTGGCCTGAAGGATGCCAGGTGACCTTGCACCTGAAGCTGTTTGGGGACTACTATTCAGCCCTGTCCCAAGGTGGATAATGCGCCCTCCCTGTTTGTTTTCCTTCTAAAYGTCTTCCTGGAAAAGTTAGGATGAGGAGGGAAGGGCGGGCTGTTTCTCAGGGCGCCTCCAGACTCCTTCCTTTCCTCCTCCCGGACATTTTAAGAGCCAAGTCCAGTTCAAAATTGTGTGTCCCTCCTTCGGGGTGTGCAGAGAAGGCTGGACGGAGTTTGGCCACAAGTAGGAAGCTTTTGCACTCCATTCGCCGCCTTCACCGGAGAAGGCTGATCGATTGGCTGCAGCATTAAAGCGCCTCTGGACATTAGGGAGAGGAAGTGCAGACTCCAAAGCCCATTACTGGCTTTTAGTCTCTGGAAGTGCAGGGCCRAAAGTGCATTTCTCAGGATATTGAATATTCCATTAGGCGTGCCTTCATGCCCGCCTATCTCTTACCCCTTCCTTCTGCTTAGATCACTTGGTGTCTGAGTTTGGGACCCTCAGGGGACTCCTAAACTACCCTCCGCACCAATCTCCTAGCTCTCTTACTATGAGGCCAGCTTTTCTGGAAGAGCATGTCCTCTTCTCCATCCTCTTCCAGGACATAAGCAGGTTTCTCCCTATCTCCTACTCCTTAAGGGTACTCCCTCCTTGTCAGCTTGTGGACTCTCTCTTATGCATTGATTGGGGACAGGGATGACTGGGCTGGCTTTTAGAGCTATTAGAAGACTAGAAGCTGGGGTGGGTGAGGGTAGAAAAATAGGAACCAAGCAGGAAGAACTCGCTTTAGGAAATGTGGGCCCTTTTGAACAAATATCTCAAAGGACAGCTTTCAGACTTCCTGAGTCATGAATCACTTATGAAGTGACACTATCCAAATGGTACCTTTTGGCCCAGCCTGCCTTGAAAGTCCCCAGTGGATGGATCAGTGGCATTCTCCTTCCCTCTGCTAGGTTAATACTTGGCTTTGCCCTTGGTTGGGAAGCTGCTGCTGTCTTACTTCAGCCTGGCTGTGCATTCCATGGCCACTGCCCTGCCCTGCACTCAGCAGCTGGAATCAATCTGCCCACCTCCTTAAGAAGCCACTTCATCAGCGGTCACCCTGCAGCTGCTGGCCTCCCAGGGCTGCTGGGTTCAAGCTTTATCACATTTTTGAAATTTCAGATTTGTGTGTCTGGGCTGTGCCCCCAGGAGGAACAGCACAGCTTTGGAGCATAGCAGATTTTACTAGGATATGGAGAGGACAAGAGTCTCCAGAGTCTCCTCTGTTTCAAATACCAGCTCTCAATGAGGCACTTTCTGAAAAATTTCTTGAGAAGAAATCTGAAAGAATGAGGAGTTTTTGTATGGTCTGAGAAGAAATCATTCTTTTTCTATTCCCTTTCCCCAAACACCAGCCCCAGCATTTTCTTGTTAGGGGTAGGAACATTCATCCCAAGGGTGGTTCATGTGCTGTAGAAGTGGAGTGAGTATTTGTGTCTGTAACAAGTAACTGGACAACTTTTCTACTTACGCTGTACCCTGATTTACACTGTGACTGAGGGCTGACTTTTTCCCACACAGTGCTTAGTTTCATACTTTCAAATGGAAGCATGGAGTTTATTTTCAGCAAGGTGACTCATTAGCGTTTAAAGAATGTTGACAGGTATAATATATGGGAATAGTAACCATTGGAATTAGGTACTCATCCAAGCACTTAAAGAGACAGTGTTATCGCTGGTGAGACAGCTTATTTTGGCCAAGGGAAAAAAAATTATAAAAATATTTAAGAGATAAAATTTAGTGGCAGATAAGATACTTTCAAAATAAGAGTGTATTTTCTATTTTTAAGATAACTGGATGTGGGAAGTAGATACTCGGTTACTTCATGTCTTTTGTTAGAGGCTGTGCCATCTTGATGGGTATACTGGGGCTGAAGCAGAGTGCTTTATTGCTATGCTAGTGTTCAGTTGTTGCTATTGCATCTGAATGATAGCTATTTGTGCAGTAGGTTCCTTCCAAAGTTTATTGGGACACTGTGTTTTAACAAGAAAAGTAATGGAGTTTGAGAGTATAGGATTTTATTTGGTAGGGAGAATGAAAGAACTTTTTCCTATAACCACTAGTTTTGAAAGTTTTTGCAATCTAAAAATTTACATAACAGGTGGCAAAAATATTTTAATGCACTTATTGTAGTGGAAGGAAATGGGAGAATTCGTTGACTATTGTAATCAAGTCAGTCCAATTAGCCAGATTTCCATGTGTCCACAGAGAGTGTAATGCACAATCTCCATTAAGAATGATCTAAGTATCTAAGGAATGCTTAGATGAAAATTATACTAGGGAAAAGAAGATCTGAGCTCTCAGCATAAGTATCAAGTGTACAATATAATGATCATGTTTAAAAAGAACAAACACATCCAACTTATTGTAGTACTCATTTTCAGACCCCTCAAGGAATACCCAGTAGGGATCAAGTGTTTATCATTGAAAACTGCAGGCTGGTTGGATGATGGTGATGATATTTTAAAATTTATATTTAAAATACTTTCTTTCTGCCAAAGAACTCCAAATATTTTGCATAGATTTCTGTGAACTCTTGATTCCCTTCATGCATATATTCCACATCAAGAATGATATATTGCTCTTGATTTTTCCCCTTAAATTTGTGGATACATTTTTCTTCGTTTTGGCTGCCTATTTAATAATGTCTGCTCAGGGGGGGCTGCACAGAATTTTTAAATTAGCTCAAGCACAGGCTTGAATAATTATTAATTTGTTATAAGGATAATAATAGACTCTTTCCCAAGCCTTTGAGCTATTCTTGTCGTGAATCCCTTGATTCTTGATGATGAAAATTGATTATTTGAAACCTGAATTTTCTTGTTCTGAGACATATATGCTTTGGGCTTTATGCCCCARAAAACTCATTGCTTTTTGCATCTTTGATCCAGTTCAGGACTAGTTTGACCTTTGGACTAAATCAAGGTGTTTGGCCTAATTTTGATTTAAGCAACTTCAGTGAAGTAGTGTRTCCCAACAGAATTCTAGGCCCAGCATCAATTAGAAAATATACAGTGTTTTAAAATAGCAATGGTAGCAACAATAAAGATAACTAATCTTTGCATCATGCTATGCTATTAATTTACAGAAGCTCACTGTTTTCTCATAACAATTCTAAATAGTCTCCCCACTTTTCAGGTGAGGAATAAAAGGCTTGAAGAAGTCCAATTACTGACTTATGGCCTCAATGCTTGGCAATATCATAGACCAGTTAAAACCTCAAATCTCACAGTTCTTAGAGCCCAAGTTCTACACTGTATAGACTTGGACTATGGCTGGTTCTATCTTAGACCCATAATCCTTTCCTCTATGAAGAAATACACCTGCTCTAAATTAGAATAGGACTTAAAAGTCATAAAACTASCACCAAATTGATTTCATGGGACAATGACCAGTGAACTCACATCCAGCCCACACCTTGAATGCACTGTGCCCAGCTGGGCARGTAGCCCTACTCTTGGGATTATCATTTGTCAATCTTTAATCTTCCTCCTTCCTCACCCAGTTTTCCTAGCTCAGTGTCACCTTAGAGGCAGGCCTGAGGAATGATATGATTGCAATTACGAAGGTTGTAAAAATAACCTTAGTTGCTTCCTTTAGAATTCCTTTGCTTTTTGCAAGGATCCTCCTGCTAACCTTCTATTTCTACCATGCCTATCATCAAAATGTGTTGATCCCTAACCAATAATATATCAATATATTAACCTATTTTCTCTTTCTTATTAACATCATAATATTCTAAAGGGAGCTTTAGGGAGTGTATATTCATTTGGTTGAATCTGATGATTAATATTTATAACACAGATTTAAGGGAGGCAGGCAGAGGAAGAGGGGAGGGTTTTAGACAAGACAACTCATAAGCATCTTTGTATATTGCCACATAGGATTTGTAGAGAATGGCAATGGCACATAAGCACTTTACTTGTACTTTCAGTTCAAGCTGTACAGGAGTTGGCTAGTACCTGGTTTAGTGATAAGAAAACTGAGCAAATCATTGTGGAAGTGTGTGTGTGTTTGTGTGTGTGTGTGTGTGTGTGTGTGTGTGTGTATAAGCACTCTACCAACTGAGCTATATCCCCAGCCCAGGATTCTTGATTTTTGCATTTGTACTAGAGTTGGTGAATTGGTCTTCAGCTTATCATGTGTTTATA